CCCCCCCCGGCCCTGGTCTTCCCCCCCCCCCCACTTACTGGCATGGAGTCTAGCTCCCTGCAGCAGTGAACGGCGACTACCCAAATATCTGAATCTCCTCCGAATCTTTTTCCGAATTGATTTGGAAGCTTTGAATCAGTTCGGACCTTTTTTATTGGTCTCCTGATTCAATTCAGATTTGGAGATTTGGTCGCTGAATTGGGCTGAATCTCCTCCGAATTGAATCGGCACCTGCAGCTTCGCACAGCCCTACTGGTTAGTCTTTGTTGAAGCACACTTTGTTGCTGTTGTGTATGTTCAGTGTTCAGTGTCACAGACAAGTTACTTGTAATTTTTCTGTAAATATGATACCAATCCAGTTTGCCCCAGTCATGAAGGAAATGGGTTTGTACCAGTATATAATCAACGCTGATTTTTGGTTCCACATTTGGAATGTAGTTCTTAGTTCTGCATTGAGATGTGTGCAGATGAACTCCAGTGTACCACTTATTGCAGGATCATTTTCTATATTGTTTTGTTGATATTTCTTCTCTTCTGGTTGTACTGGCTCTGCTGGGCTTACAGGAATGATAAAACTGTAGAAACAGGTTAGCTAAATTGCCTTAAGTTTCACCCTGAATGAAGCAGAAGTAAAGTCAGAGCGCTTTTGCCACACTTCTATTGCTACAATGAAATTACAAGTGCATGGTAACAGTTTGTATCAGTATCACTTGATCAATATAGTTGTTACATCTGTCTGTGTCCTAGTCTGCCTGTCAGGGACTAGTGGGGTTTCTGCTTGTTCCCCCCTCCTGCTGTTTCAGTCTTTACTCTCACGCTGTTTTCCTTTTTCTTTATCTCAATCTCCCTCTAACTTTTATTTCTCTAGTTAGTCTTCCTGTTTTCTTTTTCTGCAGTGCAAGAGGTTAGCCCATTTTCAGTAATCTGCAGTCCCATATGCTAGGGCTCCAGGTGGACTCTTCAGTTGCACCTACAAGTATTTCCCTTTGAAGTTTTCCATGCCTTGTTATTTTGCACCTACTTTTCATTTAATATGTATCCAATATGCTCCTTCTGTAAATTGGTATATTTTTCTTACTGTGTTCTATAAATGGTGAGCCAATAAAACTTGATTTAAAGGCAGAGAACAGTGATAGGCTTACTATTTTAAAAGAGTAATAAAGCTGCTGCATCTCGTTGCTTGTACTGATGGATTTTTTTTTTTACTCCATAGTAATAAGAACTCATGTTTTGCCTCTTCCTAGTCCTTTAAAATGCAGTAATAATGAGTTCTGTTTTTTGTTTTGTATTTTTTCCCTTTCAGCAAGTTTCCTCCCAGTCTATATGCTCCAGTGATATCAGAGGCCCATCGAGATGAAATAGCCAGGGTTTTTCTAGTAGCTCTGGATCCTCTCATCTACCAGCTTCTTTCTTTCAGGGCTTTCTCGGAACAGGTGTTAAGTGAAAAATTAGGTGAGTTTAAAAGTATTATGGTCTGTGATACAATACTTCTGTGTCATCTCTTCAGCACCCAAGTCTTCTTGCTTCCTATGCTCCAAGAACTACATAACACTTTTGCATTTGTTTGCTTGTGTCTGAATTTGTATAGCAGCTCTAATAATGGATCCTGAATAATGCTGTCAGGTACTAAATTTGCTGGCAGGGGTGAACATTCCTTGTTATTGCCATTTTTAGTTACTTTGAGCACCTTGGGAATATTACATTAAAACACTGAATTATGCCATCTGTGACAAATCTACAGTGAGGGCTCTTTGAAAAAAAAATCTGCCAGAAGGTTGGTTTTTGTTTTGTTTACGGAAAACTAGGTTTTGGCTAAATAGACATTGTATGAAAAAAAAAGTTAAAAAAAATAGAATACCAACAACCTTAAACATTTTTGTTTCTGCCAAAGACCTAATTATGTCATCCCCAAATATCTCTATTCTGAAAACAGCTGCTGTCCTCCTGGGAGTTATTGGCTGGGTGTCTTGTGGCTTCCTTCTCCTCCAAAGTGGGTTCCCTTTGCTATCTTCATCTTCTCTGGTATGCACCAGGGCCAAATGACTACCACAGCACACTCATCAAGAGAAGGAGGAATGGGGCATATCAGAAGATGTTATGCACCTAAGGAGTGAGGGCCATAAGGAGAATGGGAGTTTGAAGCACCAGAATGACAGCTCTTGGGTCTTACACCTGTATCTCAGAATCAAAATTTTTTTTGTCTGAAATAAGGGTTTTGATTTTTTTTCACCAAACACTATGAAGTTTTCCACGGGAAGTTCCTTTGCCATTTTTTTTCATCCCTGACTATAAAGCAACTTTGCAGCCTTTATATTGTTTTCTCTTAACCTTTTGGTGTGTAACACTTGTCCAAAGGTTAGTTTTATTTCTATCAAAATGTTTTTTTAAAAGGACAACTTTAAAAATTTATGTATCCTTGTAGATCTTTCTCCTGAGTTGCAGCTTCCTCAGTGTCATCTTCTGGTTAGCATAATGGAGAAGCTGGCCACTCAGCCTGAAGAGGTGCGAACTCTGTGGAGCTCAGGAAGCCAGTCGGCAGAAGAGATTCCAAGGTAATTCTGGCTTACAGAAGTCAAACTGAATAGGTAAACATGGAGGTTCAGGTGCTGGCCTGCCCCTCAAGCTAATGAACTGGCAGGCCCTGAGAGCTGTTATGCTTGGAGGGGGTCCTGCATGGTGCCTCAGGCATACCATGCAATATGAAGCAGAGATGTGTTGGTTGGTTGAGAAAAGGATGTCCTTTTTTTTTCTCTCTCTAGGATATTGAGATCACTTCAAGATAAATTATTTCAGTCTCCATAATTTGTTGATGTTCCTATAAAGCAGTGTATTTATATCTGTTCCCCAAATGCCTCTGGTAATCACCTGCCCTTGTAAACAGAAAGTTAATCAGGATTGTAAATCTGTTTTGATAAAGAAAAAATTAAAAAAAATTGACATTCGTGATAAAGTCCCCGACATGAAACTGAGCAGAAGTCCCTTCACTCAGAGGTCTGTCTGTTTTTTGGGGGAGTAGAGTTTGGACAGCAGTAACTCTTGCCTTTCATTTTTATGCAGGTTGTCATTGTTCTCAGCCCTTTTCCTTAGTTTCCAGCAGTGTTCCGGTGAGCTCGCTCTTCCTGTCTGTTTGCCTGGAGTGTTAAGTACAGGGCAGCCTGAGGTTCCTGTCACCTTGTATCACCACGTTTGTGTCCATCTGTGTGCCTTCATTGCAGCTGTGTTGCCTTCACACTTTCCTCAACTGGTAAGGCTGTTTGAAAATGCGATCATTGCCAAACCAGCTGGTTCCACTGGATAGTAATTGGCATTTTAAAAATGATGCCCCCCTCCTTACACACCCTGAATGAAGTTGGTGTGTCTGGACTCGTCTTAATTTGGCAGATGGAAGGCAAGCTGCTTTTAAGTGTGCAGCAAATGCTCTTTGCCAAAAATAACTTGGTGCAAGTGATAAGAGACCTCAGATGTGTTAACTTGTTTGCAGAATCACAAAGCAGAGGGAAAAGTATGCTGCTTTAAAAGCATTCCAGTGCTTTCATTTTAAAGCAGTTTCCAAGTGTGCTAAATTTCTTATTGGTACACAGCATGGCTAAATGAACAAGTCTTATTTAACAATCAGAACAATCTTCTGTATAACTATAAACTTCTTCAAACCCATGCTATAAAATAGAACGTAGTATTTATCTACCTTTTAAATATGTAATGTGAGGCTTAATGTTTTATAGTGGCTTGATTGTTACATTTGGCACAGTATGCATAGATGAAAGAACTGAAAAGGACTAGATAACATGAGATATTAAGTAGTCCAGGAGTCTCTGATTTTGTGTATGTATAATGTTCTGTAAGCAAAACAGATCCTTTCAGTCCTAATTCTGTGTTTTGTCTCACCCTTCAATACCTCACTCTAATTCAACCTTCATGAGGTTTAGCAGGAGTTTTTCTTGTCCTCAGGACTAAGCTAGGATTCTGTTGCATCTTGAGAAAGTTTGTTGGCCTAAAAAAGGGACTACGTTTTCATGAAAAAATGTGTTCCTTTTGGTTTAAAAGATACAAGTATGTTGACCCTATTTTCACTAAAGTTTTTTTGACATTATAAATTTTTCACCCAGCTGTAGTCAGTTTATATGCATGATCAACTGTTAGGGGCCTGTACCAAAATGCATCTGTTACTACCTGCTTATCTTTCTAACATAAGCCATTAAACGATTGTTCCTAGTATTTTACATGGATAAACGGATTTCGGTTTATCTGCCACACTAGTTAGCGGACTAAAAGTAAAGACTAAAACTGCAGCCTGTTTCTAATTAAGTGTCCCTCTGTTCTTTCCTTAGGAGTATGCTCTGCTTGATGCTGTCCTTGGTTCTAGTATGATCACCTCCCTGCTGGCTATGGATTCATGGTGTTTCCTAGCTCGGTAAGATATAGTTATTTATAAGGCGAGCAGGAACTGACCTGATGGTTCAGGTTGCATCAAGGTTAGCTTTCTAACTACATAGTTAAAAGTATGAATGATTCTCAGACTTTTAGGATGGAAATATTTCAGGATCAACCTCTGCTCTGAAAGAGCTTATTTTGGAAAATGTAACCAGAAATGGTTCAGTTGTTTTTTTCAGATTCCACATAGCTTAAGGGGGGAAAATATACTTTTGCTGCTATAAAAGTTTTCTGCCCATTTTATAACAGCTTTACAGTAAATAGACTATGACTATAAGTAGCAAGGTTAAATGTTGAATGGATATGGCCACCTCATAAAAGAGTACTTTATATAGTGCTCAGTGACTTTTTTTTATTTGATTGAATTAAGCCTTTGAGAAACCAGTTTGGTCATGTGGGGTACGTTTTGAACAGGCTTTTTTGCTAAGCTTGTGATGTGTGTAGCTGAGGAAAGTTCTGTTAATGTGCATTCATCTGGGTAGCTTGGGTCTGTAGTCAAAATGAACAGTGGTATGTGGACTGGCTGCAGGAAAGGAGTAAAGAGCTGAGGCTGGGGTGGGGCAGGGAAAGTTGCTCCTGCAGTGTACCTTCTCAGCTGAGGAGCTCCTAAAGCTGTGAGGGCCCTTCTCTTGTGGACCTTTTAAAGTTCTGGGTGGGGGTGATTTTGTTGATATGCAGCCAACTAATTTAGATGACTGAATTTCCAAGTGTTGGCGGCAAGTTCCTGGTAAGTCAGTTGATTTGAAGTTCTGCAGCAAGTGCCTGCTGCTTCTAGTTTAGGGTTGGGGTGTGGATTGTTTTCAGGAATTTAGGAAGTTCCCTATGAGAAGCCTCCATAAAAAAAAAAACAAAAAAAAAAAAACGGTTGTGCAGATAAGCACCCAAATTAGCATATGCCAAAATTAAAGTTGGACTTGCAATTTAAAATTTGCTTCCTACTGATGTGTTATATGAATAAATGCTTTTAGCAATGAGATTACAGACTAGTTCCCACATTTTTATTCTCCAAATGGTTCAAGTCCTTACTGGCTTAATGTGTCTTATGTAAGTTCTGTCCTATGAGAGGTTTAATTTACATACTGCATTAGTATAAAGGGGTCACTTTTTTTGATCTGCATATCTCCTCTACGCTCCTGCTAATAATGCAGGTCCTCTGTATCCCTTGAATCTTTGGCCATGGAAATAGCTTCAGAGTTATTTCCCAGCAAATGGAATGTACAGCGATCCTTAAGAAGAATGTTTCTCTGCTTTGTTAGGCAAGTGGGAAACCCCTCTCTCTGACCAGGCAGAGCAGGGGAGACATGCTGATCAGCTTACTGAATAACCTCACTTTCTCTGCCACATCCCAGGTATGGAACAGCGGAACTTTGTGCTCACCATGTTTTTGTGATAGCCCATTTGGTGAGTAGTGTGGCAAAGCCTGGAGTAAGGGACCTGAGTTCTTACTTGGTTTTTCTTTATAAATGACTGAGAACAGGTCTATCCTCCTTTTTGTGCTTCACTTTTTCTGTCAGCAAAGTGGGGAATATTCTTTCTTCCAGCTTAACACTTCCTACATTATAAAAAATATTACACAAAGTTTATAGAACAAAACTGGGAGAAGGGTTACAAAATAAGTAGACAGTGCAAAACTTCTATAAAAACTACACATGTAAACGTTACTCTTTTGGTCCCACATGACAGATTCTCAACCAGGGTGCTCTAGCACTCAGGGGGTACTGTTAAATCTTCAAGGGTGCTGTGGGGTGTCACGCAATGTTAGCACTGTTAGATGTACAAACGTGATTCATAAGATAAACCCAGATATTTCAAATAGGAATCCATAGTGTTAAAAAGATTCTGACCTATTGTGGTCTTTCTGAGTTCTTTGCAGCAGAAGACTTGCTCTGTTATTGTTCAGTAGTTGGTCAAAGAGTGAAAACTAGGAGCTAGTGTTTTCTGAGGGTGCCTTGAGTCTAAAAAGATTGAGACCGACTGGATTAGAGGAATAGGCAGAGAGGAACCAAATGGGATGCCACAAGGATAAATTGAATAATATTAGAGATAAAAATAGCACCATCTAATAAAAAAACCCAGCAGATGGCCAGTAGTAATTCAGGGAAAGCCTGGCTGTGGTGGCTGTGAAGGCAAATACGATCTTGAATATAAGAATTGGATTTCTTGCCACCTAAAATGAGACTAAATATCTGTTGAATTTTTCTCAACATTTTTAATGAGTCACAAAAATGTTTTTTTTCTGTAGGACTGTTTCTGAGCAGATTTTCTTTTTCTTAATTTAATCATATCAATTCCCGGTTATCCTAATTCAGATAAAGTCTTGCCCTAGTGAGTGTTACCAGCTCTCTATCTTGGGTGTCCTCCTGAGGCGTATGCTGTTTTTGATGGCTCCAGACCACCAGGCAAGTATAGTATAAATCTCTCTCCTGCCATCTGATGAGTCAGACATAAGCTCCATATGCCTGTTAAAATACCACCCAGCTCTTTTCAGTAAGCAAGAAAAGGGAATGTGGAACCGTCTTGTTACTGCATTTGCTTTAGGCTCCAGGAAACGGAGCCTAAGGTGCTTACATGAATTCTGTTAAATAACAGTAGGCACAACTTCTTGCCCAAATATAAAAGTCCCCAGTCTCTGGGACATGCTGGTTTCTAATATACTGCATCTTGCTTCAGCAGGACTGTGTCTGTCTTTACTGGAGGGGTTGGTTAGTGCAGGAGAGTTCAGCATCATCCTGCTTTTCATGGATAATTAATTGTTCCATCAGTGTAAAATTGTTATTGCTCCACTGACTTCATTAGAGCAATGCAGATTTATACTTGCAGGCCATCCCAGTCACATGGCTGAAAGCACAAGTTGTTTAACCCCAAGTAAGTAGCTTGTTCTAACATATCATATGCAGGGCTCATTTCTCCTTGTTAGATTTCCAAAGCAGCACAGACCAAGGTACTTGCAAGCACCATTGCTGTTTGTAGGTTTGGCAGACTCTTTGACTAGCTTGTTCATTTCTTAAGGTTCTTTCTTGGTCTTTTTTTTCTTATAGGTGGAATTTACCCAAAAATTTCCTCCCACAGAACTGGAAAACCTGCCTGTCTGGCAGCTTATTTCTCTCAAGGCCCTTGCTCCTGATACAATGAAACATGTGGTGAACCAGCTCTGTGAGGTAGGGCTTGTGCAGTGCAGGCAGTGGCTGAGTGGCAGGCGCACACTGGGAGAGCTCCCACCTGTGGTAAGAGTGGGTTTAATTGTTAACACTCCTGGGCCTAGAGTTCTTCAGAATAAACTGCTCACCCACCCCTGCTTATTTTCTTTATCTCATTGTTGTGCAGTCCCAGGTGCTTTTGGGCTAACAGCTCTTTGGGGCAGGAGTTTGCATTTTATGGGGTGGGTGGGTATAGCTTATAGTGCAATGGGTCCCTGATCTCTTGATTGGGGCCTCCAGACATTCTAGGATAGTTTTTAGGAATATTATTAGGAGGTTTATTGTATTAGAATATTGGGAATAAGGGACTATGGTGCAGAATTGAGCCAGAGAAAACAAGAGAATGAGATAACAAGCCAGCACAGTCCTTTCATCTCTCTGATACCTCTTATATTCAAAGTGCTAAAAAGTGATTGACTTCTCACCATATTGATTACTAGGCCTGTGCGAAGCAGCAAGTATTTGCTTCAGATTTGGATTCGGCCGATTTGGAGGGACAGTGATTCGGTTCGGAGATTCAAATCACTGTCCCAATTTGATTTGGCCAAATCAGATCCGAAGATTTGGTGCCGCTTCAGAGATTCAGCCATAGGCTAAACAGGCAGCTGTCCTCACCATGCTGGACACAGCTGCCTCCAGCTGGTAAGTCTGTTGTGGTGAGCAGAGAGGGGAGGAAATGGGCGCGGGAATGGGGAGAATTGGGACTGGGACAAGCTGCCCAGCCAGGAGGGGTGGGGAGACTCAGGGAAGGGGGTGCAGGATGTGGGCATGGCAGTGGGGACTATACCCTGCTGCTGCTTGCCCAGCTGGGGGGGTAGGGTGTGATGTAAGCATGGTTCCCTCCAGGTGGAAGGGAGCAAGCGGCAGTAGGGCATAGCCCCCGCTCCCAGCGCTACTGTGCCTACATCCTGTGCCCCCCCCCACCCCGGATGGGCAAGTGGTGGAAGCACCTGCATCCTGTGCCCCCCTGCCTTGCTGGGCAAGTGGCAGATAGTGGGCACTGCCACTGCTTGCCCAGCTGGGGTGGGGAGGGGTGGTGCAGGATGTGGGTGCAGCAGTGCTGGGAGTGGGGGATTTGCCTTACTGCTGCTTTTGTTCCCTTTTGCCTGAATTGAACTGTGCCTGTATTGCGCACCTTCCCCCTCGACCCAGCTGGGCAAGTGGCAGTAGGTGAGAGCCCCCATTCCCAGCGCTCCCGCACTCCACCCTGCCCTGGCTGGGGAGCTTGTCCCAGCCCCAATCCCTCCCTTTCCCACCCCCCTTTCCTTCCCCTTTCGTTCACCACAACAGACTTACCAGCTGGAGGCAGCTGTGTCCAGCCTGGTGAGGTCTGCTGCCTGTTTAGTCTATGGCCAAATCTCTGAAGTGGCATCAAATCTTTTCTGAATACATTTGGAGGCTTCTGATTGATTCAGACCTTTTAACTGGTCTACTGATTTGATACGGATTCAGAGATTTGGCCGCCAAATTGTGCCAAATCTAATCGAATCAGCTAACAAAGCTTTGCACAGCTCTGTTAATTACTTGGTGCTTCTCAGGGCTCAGTATTCATGAAAATCAGGCCACATGTATATGTGTGCAAATACAGATGTAGGAGCCCAATTTTAAGAGGAAATTCTTATCTGTTGGAAATTTGAACCTAGAAGAATGCAAAATATCCTTAAATCAGAAAGAGATCATCTGAATGCATTACCTTGCAATGTGTGTTTGCTGCTTGTGTCCATCTGCCATCAAATATCAAGGTAACAAAATGTAGTGAAAGCTGTACTGAGTCAATAACTGTTCTAATTACCTTTGGATTAGAAAGGTAGAGTGCCCTTGCCTAAATGTATGTGTGTATTTTACGTTAGAATTTTTCTTTTCAGTTTTAAGTCATTGCTTTTCTCCTGAAGGTGATGCATCTAAAAACAATAAGTACTGGCTTTCTTGACAGCCTAAGAAAGAGTTGCAGCACCCTCTGGAGAACTCCTGTAAACCCCCATATGAAGTCACAGGAAATTTGCCTTACTAAAGATGGGGTTAAGTAGCTCAGAGGATTGGCTACACTAGACAGTGACTGGAGTACAGTTAACTTCATGTGAGGTCTTAATGGGTGAATTTCATAGGCTGGGCACTTGCCTTTATCATGACTTTCCTTTCTATTTCTGCTAGAATATTGCTCTCTCCGCCTTGCTGACTGTGTGTAATTCTGCTGGTGGTGTTCTGGAGGCAGGACAGCAGGCAGCCATCTTGGGAATTATTGGTCAGGTCTGGGATGTCCTCCAGGTCAAGCAGGTGAGGGAATTCACTATTCCAATAGTATAAACCACTGTCCTGAAGAGCTTGTGTTTCACCATTGTGTATTACTGAATCATTTAACTTGGATTTAGAATAGTTTTCCTACAGCATAGTGCAGCGTGGCTCTCCATGGTGTCTGAGATGCAGAGTTGATGGTCTGATGTCCTTATAAGAATGCGCAGTGATATGTAGCATGAACTGGGCTGGCTGCAGCTCTGTCACTGTGCTGCTACATATGTGCTGTGCTGCACTCAGCAGAGAGAGGGGTGGTGTCCTAAGGTGGTGCAAATTGGTATAGCCCCATTGAGCTGTGGAGGAGCAACATTAAGTTCAGTGGACACTGGTAATGGATTTTTTTATATATATATAGATTTCATAGACATTCGGGCTGGAAGGAACCTTGGAAGATCATTGAGTTCAGCCCCCTGCCCCAAGGACAGGAAGTCAGCTAGGGTCAAACGATCCCAGCAAGATAAGCGTCCAAATGTTTCTTAAAAGTGTCTAGAGTAAGTGCTTGCACCTATTCCAGGCTGTGCGAGCTTGGACAGTAGAGAAGTATTTCCTTATGTCCAGCCTTAAACTGTCTAGGAGGAGGTTATGACTGTTAGACCTTGTCATCTTTTGGGGCGCTCTGGTGAACAGGTGTTTCCCCAGATCCTGATGCACACCCCTTATATAGTTACAGGCTGCCACCAGGTCACCCCTGAGCCTGCGCTTTTCCAGCCTGAAGAGTCCCATGGCTCTTAGCCTGTCTTCATAGGGCCCATTCTCTTGCCTTCTGATAATGCATGTGGCTCTCCTCTGGACTCTCTCAAGGTTCTCATCCTTGAATTGTGGAGCCTGAAATTGGATGAAGTACTCCAGCTCCAGCCTCATCAAGGCTGAGTACAGCGGGAGGATGACGTCCTGAGATTTGCTGCAACATCGCATTGGTGGCTTATGTTCATCTTGTGGTCAATCATGACCCCCAAGCCCCCTTTGGCTGCAGTGCTAGTGAGCATAGCACTGCTGAGCCTATAAGCGTGATGCAGGTTTTTCCCGCCCCCCCGCCAAGGTGGAGTACCTTGTGTTTATCTGTATTGAATGTCATCAGGTTTTTATCCGCCCACTTTCTAAGCCCATCAAGGTCAGCCTGCATCACCAGCCTGTCCTCAGGTGTGGATGCTCTACCCCAAAGTTTGGTGTCATCAGTGAACTTGGCCCTTCTGCTTCTGACACCTGTATCCACGTTGTTAATAAAGACGTTAAAGACTACAAGTCCAAGGACGGACCCTTGAAGGGGACACCACTGGTCATGGAGCACCATGATGATTCCCTTCCGTCCCCCACCCCTCTCTGGGTCCAACCTTGGAGCCAATTCCCCAGCCATTGGACTGATGTAGCTGAGGCTGCAGTTGGCCAGTTTTTCCATTATGTATAGATATGTAGCCATATAGATATACAGCGATGTAAAATCCATTACCAGTGTGAACAAAACCTATATCTGTTCAGAATTGTATTCCAAAGCCTCATCTGGGGGGTGGAGCTGTGGCTCAGCCCCAGCCCACCCTGCCCTGCG